TATATATATATATATATATATATATATATATATAAATAAATGTGTGTGTGTGTGTGTGTGTGAGTGTCATTCATTTTTTTAAGCAAGTTACAATGAACTAAATATTTGACCAATAGCGCCCTCTTCTGTCATCTCGCAGGTATGACGCTGGCTAACCAGGTTACCATTAGGATGTGATCCTTCCATTTTGTTTAGCTAAGCTAACGCTAGCTTGTACCGTTTTGCGGCAGATATGGATGACGCTGACGAACCGGGATTAGTCCTGTCGCACAACACCTCTTCGGGCTCTAAGTCGGGTGGAGACAAGATGTTTTCCCTGAAGAAGTGGAACGCAGTAGCCATGTGGAGCTGGGATGTTGAGTGCGATACCTGCGCCATTTGTCGGGTACAAGTTATGGGTGAGTCGTTAGCTCAGCCCTGATATATGGCTAAAGAAGCTAGCAGTTTGTTTCAATTGTACAAACTGTCAAATTGTTTCCTTGGCGTTTTGCAGACGCGTGCCTTCGATGCCAGGCGGAGAATAAACAAGAGGACTGTGTCGGTAAGATGGTTCACACTGAAAACAGTCAAACGTTACGAAAAGCAACAGTTAGTCACACAAGCTAGCTCTGGCTAATCAGTGGGAGCTGTCAAAAAAACAACAACAGCTAGCCTCACATAAACATATTCAATACTTCGCCCAAATAACGTTATATAGAAGCTATGTTAGGATAATTATCATTGATTATAATTATTATAATTATCTTTATTGCAGAATATTTTATAGCAGACACTGAGAAAGACATAGCTATTTCTATTCAGTAATGAGGCAATGAAATATATGCTGTTATAAGGGCTGAAACAATTAATTGGATTTATCGATTCTTAAAATAATCTTCAACTAATTTAGTAATCGATTAATTGTTAATTGGAGTATGGAGACTGTACAACATGCCTTTAGCTGACAGAGGAACCCACTGTTAGCTGCAGTTATGTCAATTGTAACAGAAATGTGTAAACATTTTGCATTTAAGATAAAAAATGTAATTGTTCATCTGCCAATATGCTCCATCCAGAACTCTTCAAGTGGTTTTAGTTTCACCTGGTTTAATTATGCAGAAAGTCTCCTTTAAGGAACCTTTTGCTATCTGATAAATAATCATTTAATCAACCAAATAATCAAGAGATTAGTTGATTTTTAAAAATAATCTTTAGTTGCAGCCCTAGTTTTTATCACTAGAGCCTCACCCTTTTCTGAAAACCTCTTAGTTTAATGTTTAAAAGAAACGTTTTCCACCATACAATAAATCTGTGATTTTAAAGAGACTACAAGCACTGCCTGTAGATGTTTTGTTTCCATTTCTCTTATGTATAATATTAAAAAATACTATAAAGACTTGCTTTATTTCCCTGCCTGCTTTGTCAAAGCTGGTACTAAAAAAGCATGATGAGATCTGAGACAAATACAGTGCAAAAGTGTTGACATCTCTTTACAAGAAATATAATTATTTTATGCATATATATATTGTATTTTGTAAAAAGATCTCTTCAGCTGGTCATATTTATTGCCTCTCTTTCAGTTGTATGGGGGGAATGCAACCACTCCTTCCATAACTGCTGCATGTCACTCTGGGTGAAGCAGAACAACCGCTGCCCGCTCTGCCAACAGGACTGGGTGGTTCAGAGAATCGGCAAATAAGCACGCCGTCCAGGTGGACTGTACAAATGCACCAGATAATGGTGATGGACTTCTCAGTGTTCCCGGCAGCATTTCCTGAGCTGTCCGCTCCCTTGACGGTTGCATGTTTCCGTTATACCTGGTATCAGAATGAGGACAATGGACACAGTTTGAGCTGCGCAGATCGGCGGCTGAGGGGGATCACGTGTCGAGAAGAGACGAACAAAATGTGTTGGAGCGTCAAATGTTTTGCTTACAGTTATGTGGTGTTTGGCGCATCTTGAAAATGTGAGTTTCTTTTTTAAAAGAAATGAAATGTGAATAATAGTGATTCAGACACTCTTGAAATAAAAGTCCCATTAATAAAGTGAAAGTGTGCCTAATATATTTTTTGCAGAATAAAGTTTTCCTGTATTTGTCAGAAATATCAAATACAATTAAAAGCATCAAAAAGAGGTTTATCCTGACAATAAACGTTTCCCACTTCTCTAAACTCATTATAGACCAAAAAAAAGAAGTTTAATCGAGCACACATATGGCGTTTAACTGTTACTTCCGGATGTTAGGGCTTAGAATGAGCGTGCTCTACATGACTGTAACCTTGTTACCCATTATGCTGTGAGCGTAGGATTATGTGTAAGGGTGGCATTGCTCTAGTTTGGACCTATTGATTATATTAGAAAATCCAACATCTTCAAGAATAGAGAAGCTCAGGATGAAACAGTTTGGTTTAATGTTCTTTCCTGGTAAAAAATACATTTAGTGAGGGGGAGATAATTGAATTAAACATGCAACTGGCTGGAAGGCTGCATCAACCTTGTTTAACCTGGAGGGAATGTGAAAAAAGAAGCAGCCTTAGTTTTTTTTGTTTTTACCAAAATCTGCATTTGATTAAAAATCATTATCAATAAGGTTGACTGGCAGTCATTTTAATGCTGAATAGATACACCTATGAAGAATTTTTCATAAGGGATAGATAAAGGTACCTAATATATATCTACTTATATTTATTTGAATTGGTAGTTTTAATGCATGTAAAGCTGATTATTATTGCAGGATTATTATAACTGCACAGACATTTCTCTGAAAACTGCACCATCTATCAGAGTGGCAGTTCGGTCGATGCACACAACCACTTTGCATCACCTAATAATAGACCGGTCTAAATCCTCTTAAGTTCAAACCACATAAGTTGCTTTCCCCATGTGCCGTCTTCACAAAAACGTGCAAAGCCGTGTGGGATAAGAAGCAGAGAATGATCAGGATGTTGGATCTTGATGGTCTCTCTGGTGCCTCAAACTCTCAGATGGGTGAATGTAAGTGTTCTTAGTTTTTTAACGCTGTATACCACAGGATACATCCACCCATGGATGACCTGGTGGGTGTGGACAGCTTGGTGGCCAACACAGCCTACCTAAGGGCCCTGGAGGTTGATCGGAACAAGCTGAGAATGCAGCGAGTGCCCCTGACGCTGCCCAAGCCAAAGAAGTCCACTGCTCCTCGGACAGCAGCCGAGAAGACATACGAGTCGCTCTGTGAGCAGCAGCCTATCGGGAGAAGGTTGTTTGAGCAGTTTCTCCTGACTTCTGACCCACAGTGTGTGGCTGCTGCTGAGTTCCTGAAGGAGCTGAGCCACTGGAGCTTTGCTGAGGACGGAAACAAAGACAAGACTAAACAGAGGATACTTTCAAAGTTCTGTCAGCCTCAGTCTCACACGTTCCTCTCCTACCTCACAGCAGAGGATGTGAAGATGATCATGGCTCTCGCAGGCAAAAACGATGAGGCAGCCATGGAGCAGATGAGAGATGCAACCAGAAATTACCTGAAAGGAAAACCTTTTTTGGAGTACCTGAAAAGCCCCTTCTTTTACCACTTTCTGCAGTGGAAGGAATGTGAGAGGCAGAAGATTACTGACAGATATTTTTACGAGTTCAGGACTTTGGGCAGAGGTGGCTTCGGTGAGGTCAGTAATAAAAGTCTTATGAGAATAAATAAGACAATACATTAAACTACATTTACAAGGACATTGGTAAAAACTTACCTTGAAGTAAACATGTAACTAAAATATAGACTGGGATCAGGGGCTGAGCCAGATATGTGGAACCCCCCCTCCAACCAAATAAATACTATGTGCCTGTCAGCATAGCACACGTGCTAAACCTAATAAACTGTGTAGTGAGGGATTTCAGATTGCCTGCAGGGCTTTCACTCTTGGCCAATCAGAGCCTTTATTGGGGTCCCTATCAAAAAACTATTTTGTTTCTACCAATAATATTGCTGCAATCAATGTTTAGATGATCAGATCATTCACATGCTCACTATAAATCTACTAAAGCTCTTGCTGTTTACAGTCTCCCAATTTCATGCACCATCTAAGCCCAGGGTTGTTGCAGGCAACTATTGCAGTAAAAAGAGCCATTTTACCCTGAGCCCAGCTAAATAAAACTGGTACATATTGCATGAGCTTTAAATAAAAGTCAACTTATTATTTTTGTACAATATCTCCAATAGGAAGCTGGTTGCAACTTTCAACAACACATGGTTTATTTGCATCTTTAGTTTTTAAGTCTTTAACACCAAGTAAATCATATTTGAGTCCTCCTCATCATCATCAGTGGGAAATGTTTGTTTTTTGAAAATCCTGATTTATATAACCAGACACAAGGTGAAAAAGAAAGAACAGAAAATTTATTTAAAAAAAAACATTATATGGAAATGCCTAATGCATCACATATCATACGAATAACTTATTTTAATTTAAATATTTATTATTTCAATGTTTAATGACAACTCCAGTTTAAACATTTTTAATTTTTATTAAAATGATTTCACGGGTTTTACAGAGTTAAAGTAAGGACTGAACATAAAGGTTTTTCTTAAGAGAAAGGATATATGTTCCTCTACACAATATTAATGTAAAAAATGAAAACATATTATTCAAGCAAATGGCAAAACAAGTATAGATCTAACTACATATTCCCGGTTCTTTAATGTTGTTTTGTTTTGAAACTTAAATGTTGAAATTCATTAAAAAAAGAAAACAACTTAATCTTCTAAGAATGGTATTTGTTAATATAATGTAATGATAAAAAACATAAATTAGATCATTTTAGCCATTATTATGAGCTAATAATAAAGGGTTATGTGGTTTACACTTTTTGGTTCAAAATGCAAGAGCAATATACAAAACTAATCTGTAGTGCATAAATGACAAATTAAAAATGCTTTGATAAGTAAAATAATAAATCATACAAAAACAGACATAATCAAATCAAACATACAATGTTGATAATTTTCTCATATAAGGAGAATAAAAAGTTTCATGAAACCAAAAAGAAAATGGAATGAAAATTAAAATAAAATAATTACCCCTTGAAGCTCTATTTGAAAAGATAGCCGTTCCCACACCCATGAGCTTTTTCAATACAATGTTCCACTCCAGTTTTTTTTTTTGCAAAGTCACTGCTGAAATTGGGGCTGAAAAAATGAATCGGACTAATCAAGATTAACCGATTATTGAAATAATCATCAACTAATTTAGTAAGCGATTAATCATTAACTGGAGTATAGAGACTCTAAAACACGGCTTCAGCTGACAGAGCGACCCACTTAGAGCAGTCATTATATCAAAATAAAATAA